GTCTTTCTTCGTCATTCGTTCCTGTCGTTTCTCCTCCTCTGCCCGTGTTTTTCCATCGCGAGTTTTTCATTTTGCGTCGTTTTTTTTCGGTTTTCCTTCCTCTTTTCTTGCTTTTGAATTGTGCGGTCGTCGGGAGTGATTTTCGCGTTTCATTCGGTTTTTTTTCGGTTTTTCCCTTTTCATTTTCGTGCGCATCCGTCGCGGGTTGCATTTTTCCGGCCTTTCTCGTTTTGTTTTTTCGATTTTTCTTTTTCTCTTTTTTTTTTGCTCCTTCTTTTTTTCTCCGGTCTCCCTCGTTTTGCCGTTCGTTTTGGCGCCTCCCGATTCCCTTTTTGCTTCACTCCCTGCTTGTTCGTGATTTTTTGTTTTAGCTTGTGTCCAGCCCCATGTCTTAAGACTTCGAATCAAAAAATATTTGATTTCTTGGCACTCTATTTTTAGCCATTTTTAAAAAGGGCAAGGGCGCATTTTTTAACTGCGTAACTTTTTAAAGTTTTGTTTCCTTTTTTTTTTCCCGGGTGGCAACAAAACTAGTTTTGGAAGTTGTGATACGAAAATTTCCCATTTTTTTTTCCTCCTGGTTCCCTTTTTCTTTTGATTATGCATTTTTTTTCCATGGTCAACCAATTTCTTGTACTGAAAAGACAAGTGTTCAGGATTCGTTACAAAGGAGACCAATTTTTTAAAAATCAATCTCTTGGAACCGGATTGAGGTGAGATGCAATTAAGAACGGTGTGTGTTTTAAAATGTGAGTCTGGTTTTTGGTTTATTAGGCCAGGGTTGTAAACTCATTGGGGCTTGTTCTGGATTCTCCCTAGGTTCCACCGTTTCCAAATTTTGTTTTCAAAACAATATGCTTAATGTTGTTGATTTTTAGGGTTTTCTTGTCCAAAGCTTGAAAGGGCGAGCCTTAGAGTTTGGTTATCCAATAGGAGTTTTACAGTGTTATGATTGGAAAACCATTAGGGGGTTGTTAGTTTGTCTTATGCTGGCTTTTTGGAACTGCAGGGGGACCTCTTTAACTGGGTATCTGCTTGTTGTGGAACGATTAAACTAAGTCGCTATAATTGTCTGGGGTGGGTGGTTTCCCATTATGCTGTTTTTTTCTTGTTTATCTGGTTCTTGTCAAATTTTGTGCTGTGTCATTCATTGGAGAATCAGTATGATCTATTTAGTGGAGGGGCATTTAGGCCCTGGTATATATTTTACTTTCATTGGAAATATTTTCCACATTGTTGTTGCCCAGTGCCCAAAGCCCCTGGAGGTACTGGTGGGAGGGTGCTGTATATTTAAACACAATATTGTTGCTTCAAAAGCAAACCTCAAGAAGGTGTTACCGCATGTTAGCATGTATATTTATCGTGGTCTAATGGTTGTGTGTTTCTGTTGCTTTATAGATTTTGTACGCTTAACGGAGGTGTGGAGCGTTGTGCGGCGTGTTTCGATGTATAAACGAACAACGGTCGTGTTGGTGTTCTCGTTCTGATGGGGCTTTTTGGATTGAAGAGTGGTGGTTGTGTCGGTTTAGATGTGATGTGGGCCACAGAGTATGTGCCGCTGTGCGCTAGCCCTGGGTGAGTTTATGTAGCTGTTTGTTTGTTAGTTTTTTACATTACTTTCAACCATTTGACTTTTTAGAGCTTTTAAAGGAAGGATTTTGTAGGTGGCATATTGTAGAGTTCTGTTTGTTTTTATACATACATTCATCTTATTTTTCATTTGAGAGACTAAACCATTTACATTTAATGAAACTTCTGAAGGAAGAGTTTGCTGTTTCTATTATTCAAAAACTGAAATTGAGAATTTGAAAGGAATTGCATTTAATCTGTAGATTAATCTGGACATCTTCACAACATTACATCTTCTTCTCTTGAAGAAGAACGTATTCAAGAGTGTGTTGTTTATTTTCCTATATTTGTGAATTTTTCTGTGTTTCTTCTATTATTTATTTTCAGTTTCATTCCATTCTAGTCAAAAATAAAAGTGAGTAAAATTTCAATTTTCTAAAATTGGTTAAGACTTGTGGCTGAAGAGGTAGTTTTTTAGGAAGAACGTTTTATGAGCTATCAAGGAGATTGTATATTCTACTATTATTTTGTAGAGTGTTTCCAATGTATCTGTTAGGTCTAAGTGCTCTGTAGTGTTTTCAAATCTTTTGTTTTCTTATTAATAATTTGACTGGTTTTATTATTATTGAAAGTGGAATAGAATATCAAACTATCATATTATTTTGTTGTTCATTTCTTGCTTCATTTCTGTCAATGCTTTTTAAAAATATATTTGATAACCTTGATTGGAGATAAAGATAGATATCATATAAATGTATTATTTTCATAGGCCCTCCGTGAATGACCACTTTTTATATTTATTGCCCTTTTGGTCTCTTGTGACAGTTTTGACTTAAAGTATATTTTAAAAATTCTAACGTCTTTTACTTCAAAATAATGTGCCTAATATAATTTTGAACTCCACTGCTCTTTGATGCTAAATGTTTTTCTGATATATCTTGCTATATCCTGCCAATTGTAGTCTATTGTTCTCACCAGGAATGAAGTCAAGTCACTTTAGATAGAATATAGTTGGGTATTTGTTAACTCTTTATTTAACTGTGCCTTCTGACTGGAAACAGTGGTACATAAATATTTACATAATTTTCTCAAAGGAAGGACTTACAATTTCTCTTATGTTAATTGTTTTATATAACTTTTGTCACTGTCTTTTCTTTCTTTCCTCTCCTTCTGTCCTGCATTGTGCCTCACTGATTTTTAGTGACATATTTTGTTTGTTTCTTTGCCTAGCTTTCTTTTTTATCTCTATAAACATAGTTTTTCTGATGTTCACTGTGAGAACTATGTAAAATCTTTTGAACTTGCAACTCTTGTTAAATGAATGACTACTTAACTTTGGTTGCATATAAAAGTTCTTAATCTTTACATCTGCCCTCACCTTTATGATATTGATGTGAATAATTATGTCTTTTTATAATGTATACAAATTAAAACATGGGAATGATAATTTCTTTATTTTGCCTTTCAGATTTTATAGCATAATTAAATATTTTGCACCATCATTATGATAATGCAGAATTCTATTCTTAATATGTGCATATTTTTCTCAGAGAGTTATGTAATTGTCAAGGGAGGTGGAAACTAGCCTTTGGAAAGGCCACAAAAAATACATGTGTGGACATATGCTCATAGTTTCATTCTCTTTTGAAAGGGAATCCAGGAGATGGGATTTTACTACTAAAGTGATAACTCAGTATCAGCATGGAGGAAGGGCTTTGGTGGGTAAATGCAACAAAGTTTCCTACCCCTTCCATGTGATTCCTGGTGTTTTTTCTCATCTGGGATGCTATGAACAATTAGCAGTTATAATTTCTAAAAGAATCATGGTTGTAATTATATTATTAAGTTCATACATCTATGATGGAAGTAAGACCATGGTATTCTATTGTGCTTTCTTTCTAATGTACTTTCTATAGTTTTATATATTCAAATTTTTAAGTATATTCACCAGAGTCTGCTTAGTGAGATACTTTGTTATTTTCATCTTTTTCAGAACTCTCTTCCCATTGCAACAAAGACCTGTTGCCTGAGCAGGGTATAAAAGACCCCTTTCAGAAATCAATAATGAGATTATATGGAAGAAATGGCCTTGAAAATATACACTTAAGAAGAGACTGGGAGTGTGTGGGTGAGTATAAGAGGCAGAAAGCATGTTATGATGGTCTTACCCAATGTTTGTCAACTTGCCACAGAAAATTATTCAAATGTTATAAATGTATAAATGTCTTTAGCAAATCATCAAATCTAAATAGACACAAG